CATAAATCATTGCACTACATCTTGTCAATCACCAATCATTGCAGTACTTCTTGCCAATTAACAATTCTTGCACTATACAGTATTTTGCCAATCACCAATCCCTGAACTACATCTTGCCAATCATCACTCCTTCCACTATTTCTAGACAATCACCTATCCTTGCACTACCTTTTGCCAATCACTAATCCTTGCACCACCTAGCTTGTAAATCTCCAATCCTTTCATCACTGGACTACATCTTGTCAATCACAAGTCCTTTCATCACTGGACTACATCTTGTCAATCACAAGTCCTTGCACCACCTCTTGCCAATTACCAATCCTCCATCTTGCCAATCCATTCCTTGCACTGTCTTGTCATTCACCAATTCTTACATTACATTTTGCCAATCAACAATCCTTACACTACATTTTGCCAATCAACAATCTTTATACTACATCTTGTCAATCACCAATCCTTATGTCACAAAATGCATATTATCTCTTTGCAAATCACCAATCCTCACAATACTTACTTCCGCTATCATCAATCCTTACACCACTTTGTTTGCCAATCATAAATCACACTTTGGAAATTCCCTATTCTTCACAGCACCTTTTCTGTCAATCACCAATCCTTGTGCCACCTCTTTAACCAATAACCAATTCTTGCACCTTATCTTTTACCCATCACCATACTTCCCGCCACTTTTCATCAGAGATACGGTGCTCCTCACCCCAGCTAATTTGCATTGAAATTAAACTGGGTCTCCCTGCCATTGAGAACTGTGCCCCGACCCGCGCAAGTGAGAAGCCATACCAGTGGAAGCAGTGTGAGGGGGGGGGGGGGGCCCACATATTATCTACGGGAGGTAAGGCTCGGGAGAAAAGTCCAGTTATCTTTGGAAGTCTCCTCCAGAGACAACCAGGGCGCCTGACAGCTGGGTGGACAGCGCTTCGGATTCGTAGTCCTGAGGTTCTGGGTTTGATCCCCGGATGAGGCAGACACAAATGGGCAAAATGTTACTTTCACCCTGATGCCCCTGTTACCTAGCAGTAAATAGGTACCTGGGAGTTAGACAGCTGTTACCAGCTGCTTCCTGGGGGGTGTGTAACAAAAAGGAGGTCTGGTCGAGGACCGGGCCGCGGGGACGCCAAGTCCCGAAATAATCTCAAGATAACCTCAACATAACCTCCGTCAGAGTTGGCATGGGGATCAAGACAGTGAGCTAGGGCTAGTAGTCATAAATCCCCTCGTTCAAAACTTATTTTTCTACTTTTACCAAATCTTAACCAATTATCGATTAATAAATATGTAGTAAATTACCCAGTTACAATCAATTACTAAACCTGAGACCTATGGCAAGGTTGGCACCAATATATGTTTCAACCATATCTCTTAATGAACATTTTCTTATTGTCACTAGTGTTATCATTAAATTTAATGGCAAGTATAACAATTCTGAAAATTGTTTCACTTCTTCCCAGCCAAAAATATTTAAGATTTTCTTCATTATAATTCTTTGTATGACCACCAAGTGGTGCTGGCAACTGTTGAAGTATGAACCATAGTGTGACCACCAAGTGGTGCTGGCAACTGCTGATGCATGAACCATAGTGTGACCACCAAGTGGTGCTGGCAACTGCTGAAGTATGAACCATAGTGTGACCACCAAGTGGTGCTGGCAACTGCTGAAGTATGAACCATAGTGTGACCACCAAGTGGTGCTGGCAACTGCTGATGTATGAACCATAGTGTGACCACCAAGTGGTGCTGGCAACTGCTGAAGTATGAACCATAGTATGACCACCAAGTGGTGCTGGCAACTGCTGAAGTATGAACCATAGTATGATCACCAAGTGGTGCTGGCAACTGCTGAAGTATGAAACCATATTAAGACAAAGATGCAGTGACAACTTGCCGATGTAAAGTCCATTACAGAATAATCCTTGTAGCATGAACTTCGGGAGTAATTTATTATCTTATACAACATCCTTAAGACTTTGACTGTTAGTTCTACATGTGGGCTGTTTCAAAACCTTCTGCTCTGTTATCAAAATAGCAAGTTTACCTTCACAGTAGCCTTCTCTAGAAGATAACCTTGCAGATGATAACCTAAGATAATATAAGATAACCTACAATGAGCAGACCAAGAGGTCTGCTAACACCTGTCTTACCTGTGTACTAACTCACTAATTCGCTCATCTTTTACCCATGTTATAACTTACTAGTTTGCTCATATTTTACCCATGTTATAACTTACTAGTTTGCTCATATTTTACCCATGTTTCAACTTACTAGTTTGCTCATATTTTACCCATGTTTTAACTTACTAGTTTGCTCATGTTTTACCCATGTTTTAACTTACTAATTTGCTCATGTTTTACCCATGTTTTAACTTACTAATTTGCTCATGTTTTACCCATGTTTTAACTTACTAATTTGCTCATGTTTTACCCATGTTTTTTTATTATTATTTTCTACCACAGACGTGGCCACACATTTACAATGCTAACCAGCATATATACAATTTCTTCTGTCCTCCATGGACAGGGTAGAGAGATTTGTTAAGCATATAGTTCAGGGATTTATTGAACAATCAACCACAGAAGGTAATTGTAGTGCTTTTAAAATGCTAGGCTAAGCTACATACGCAAATACATAGATGCACAGATTTACGTATGCCCTACAAAAAGTGTTCGATGTGTCTTTTACATATGTACTAACTATCTCATTCATGTTTTACCCATGTACTAACTCACTAACTCACTCACCAGGCTCACAGCACAAAATTAAAATGTTTGCTACCTACACACACACAAACTATGTACTGTACTACAATACTACCAAATGTTCCAGTTGTGTTATACTCTCATCAGGATGATATTACTCTAACTAGTCCCTGAAGTACTGTAAATACTTTTAAAGACATATTCTACAACACTGATAAGAAAAGGGATCATCCACAGTAATAAAACTCTATAGTGCGACCAGCTTACAATCACTTATGTGTACAATGATTAATTAGATTTAGAATTATCTAAAGTAATAATGCCTGTGAAAATAAGGAAGGAAAGGAGATGGAGGGAGGGGGGGGGAGAAATAAACAAACAAAGACAAAGAGACAGAAAGAGAAAGAAAGAAAGGGAAAGAGAGAGAAAGAGAGAGAAAGGAGAAAGGGAAGGAAGGAAGGAAGGAATTATCAAGGGAAAGAGCCAAGCCATTACGACTATATAGCACTGGGAAGGGGTCAGGATAAGGATTTGGGATGGGAAGAGGGGGAAGGAATGGTGCCCCAATCACTTGGACAGAGACTGACTGCGAGAGCGAGAGCGCGAGAGAGAGAGAGAGAGAGAGAGAGAGAGAGAGAGAGAGAGCGAGAGCGAGAGAGAGAGAGAGCGAGAGCAAGAGAGAGAGAGAGAGCGAGAGCGAGAGAGCGAGAGCAAGAGAGAGAGAGAGCGAGAGCAAGAGAGAGCGAGAGCAAGAGAGAGAGCGAGAGCAAGAGAGAGAGAGCGAGAGCAAGAGAGAGAGAGCGAGAGCAGGAGAGAGAGAGCGAGAGCAAGAGAGAGAGCGAGAGCAAGAGAGAGAGAGAGAGAGAGAGAGAGAGAGAGAGAGAGAGAGAGAGAGAGAGAGAGAGAGAGAGAGAGAGAGAGAGAGAGAGAGAGAGAGAGAGAGAGAGCGAGAGACAGAGAGAGAGAGAGAGAGAGAGAGAGAGAGAGAGAGAGAGAGAGAGAGAGAGTGAGTGAGAGTGTGTGTGCATGCATGCACAGTTGTGTCCAAACATTACAATGCTCCTCGTCTACCAATATTTACCTTTGTCCTGCAGCCCGCACCAATCCTGCTCACTGACTAGTATGACCTTTATGGAGTGACAACTTTACAATAGTGCCAAGTTGTGACAATTATCCCCAAGTTTATAAATTTCCAACATTACATTTTTTTTTCATTTTTTTTTTTCACAATGCTTGCATGCTCCTTCAAAATGCAGCATAATTATCAAGCTCATCCTTAGCATACCATTACCAAAAACTTGCTTTCAGGAACTATTTGATTGTAGAGGAAATGGGGCTCAAATGGTCAGTTTAAAAAAAAAAAAAAAAAAGATTTTTTTCTCTATGAGAATGGAATCAGGTTCCCTTATATTTTGTACTCATGAAAATTTGTGTTATTTACCTTCAAATTAGCACAAGGCATTAATAAATGGAGTACTTCTGAACCCTGTGACCTCCTCTCAAGTATTCAATACGAATACTTATTGATATGAAATATGAACAATACTGTATGATGCATAATAGCCCATTAATTAACATGACTGCACTACTCAACTCTCATAGACAAAAAAATTGGTACTTGGTACTATCTTTAAATAATAAATACAATTTGCAGAATGCATACTTAAGTGTAGGATAACCCACTTAAAGTTGGATACCTCCGGGGCACAACCAAGATAAGGGAAAAGGACATCATATGAAAACTGACAAAAGATGGCTGAAAGGTAATGTGCCTCTCCACAGTTATTGCAGATGTGGCACCCAAATTAATCTCTTTTGCCTTCCTTCATAGTGATCATTTAGCCACGTGAGTGATGGTTGCCGGAACAGTTCCAAGGTTTATCTGGCTTAACCTATGACTAGAGACTAACTAAGCAACCAGAGAGGCAATACTACCTAGAGAGGAGATCAGCTTCACCTCATGGGAAATGATCAGCCTGGTCACTGGGGAGAAAAGTGTTCCACTATCAGAATGGCATGCAAACAAAAAATGCCATAGGAAGTGATCAGTACAATCCACGGAAGGTATCAATAACACAGGCTAACAAGTTACTGATGAGACCACTAACAAGGAACAAGAGGGAATGGACTAAATGTGGTGATATCGCTGGTTAAGAGCCCTACATTTGATAAAGTCGGTGATACTATTTTCCTCTTCGGATCACAGGAAAATGAACCATACTTTACATCAGACCCAAGGCTCAAAATCGCCGATCACACCACAAAATGAGTCTGCCTAGTGATACTTACGGAGACTTGAGTAGCCAGACTGAAGTTTGGACCTGGTGATCTTTTCTTGCTTGAGCCAGTAGAATTCGCAGTTGCATTTTGGCCCGATTGCGAGCCTTTCCGTTTCCGCCGTTTATTAGGAGCACGCTGCGTTTCTGTTGAGCAAGACGAAAAAACGTTCTTAGTGCATATGTAAAAGATTTCTTTAATAATTTTAACATTACTGTTAGCTTAAATATTTTGTCCATGTTTTTATCCTTTTACGAACATTAATCAATAAAATATTCAAGACAAACTGAAATGGTATTTGCAAGCTACACTGGCTACTGTATTGGGGTTAACAAAATACAGAGGCAGAAAAAGTAAGAGATGATGAATTTGCATGCTAGGTCTGAAGAAAGCAATCAAGGTGCCAGAATCTTGCCAGCAAGATGCAACATTCAGTCTCCTTTCTAAGGATTATCTAGAAGTACGCAGTCACTCATTACTGCTTACAATGCAATATGTATGGAGAGAGTCATAATGAAGCACATAAGATGCATCATCACCTCAATTTATAGCAATGAATTTCCTGCCCGAAAATAAAGTGCACACAAGGAAGGAGACTCAAGGTTGCCCAGCTACTCTCCCGAGTAACCTTGTTACAGTAAGACAAAGGTAATGCACATAAAGCATTCACTGAAGCTTAAACCACTTGGTTAGAATGCCAGAGAAGCAGATAATGCTATGCCCTCCCTCTGAACCATCTAGTGTGATGACAGTCAAGTGGGAAACATGAGCCTCCCTAAAGTTTAAAGTGCCAAGAGTGGCTTCTCTCATTGTTATTAGTAATGAGTCAAGAAGACCTTTACAGAGTGCCAAACTGTCTTTAACTGTAACAAACACTAAAATTAAATCACTACCAAAAGACTGAATATTTAATATTACTTCTATAATTAAAAATACCAAGCAGATTTTCATACTTTTTTTAATTAACTGAAAATGTCATAAGATTTACACTTTTAAAAGTGCTAGCAATGTTCTTTATGAAGGTCGTTTCAGCTTTAATAACAACAAATTAATACAACTATAACAACCTTTATATACTAAATAAATCCTTAGTATCTTTTTCTGATTTTGTTACAGCTAAAAATCATTGATATCAAAATATCAGCTTTAGCAACTGTAGGGGTCAACTTAAGAGAAATTTGGTTACGAGTCTAGTGCAAAACTATTTGGTGACTCCTACTTGAGGGTGGTGAAGTCTTGAGAACCAGACCTATGGAGCATCAAAAGCATTCATCAGGATTTCAGCTAGTATGGCTCTTTCATAGCAAACTTCAATAACACATTGAAACGAACAAAAATTACTTTGGAAATAATGGGTGGAAAAGAAGAAAAACTTTAGCCGCACACACACACACACACACACGCACGCAAAGAAAAAACCTGTTTCTTTTAATGAAAATGATGTATGGTGTGCACGAGCACCGACGACAGTCTCGAGAACAACGCCGTGTTCGTCATGTTTCAAGTTCCCATCTGCACCTTCAACGTCACACTTTGGTTATTTTTATTTTTATCAGTTTTTATCAGGAATAAAACAGTCTTTTATTGGTGTTCTTTCTTTCAACAAAGAAAATATTCCATATGGCTGCATTTGTTTGTGTGGTTTCACAAAGAAATTACTTTCTCTGTTGTGTGCATGTCTGTGATGCCATCAGTGCACCTCAGTTAGACCTCATTTGCTCCAAGGGTAGACACATGCTTGTTTGTCTCACCTTTACAAACATGTGTAGAAAGTGCAGGCGATGAGTCACAATAACGTGGCTAAAGTATGTTGACCAACATGTCTACACATGTCTGGTCAACATGTGTAGAAAGTTTTTAATTTCGATGAAGCAAGAATGAAATTATTTTGATAAAGCTTGATAACACCCCCCTTAACACAACCCTCAGGAAGGAACCATGAGGTCAAACTCTCACTATAACATGACACACACACACACACACACACACACACACAACACACACACACACAGACACACACTAACAGAAGCTAGTGCAGTATGCATTACTGATGATGAACGTCGCATAGTTGCAAAACATAAAATGTACTGTAGTTCAGTCCATTAGTGTTCTCATATCTGGCACTACCATTGTCTTTTGGTATTTATTATGTTGAAAATGATATGGAATTATTAATGCAATTCCAAGAGAACACAACTATATTACTTTTTACTGTATTTATATTAGCTGACAGTCTTTAGACAAATTAAAAAAAAAAACTGTGAGGAATAAAACAATACTGAAGTGAAGTGCTCTAAGGTACATAAATATTTGTGAATTAAAAGATGCAAGAGTGGGTTTACCCATCACCATACTTGTGTACTGGTCACCACCACCCTGTTCATGCCACTTTACCACTTGCCCACCAACCAACAACTTGTATACATAAGACATGGACTGCACGTGGAAGCATTTGCTCTGTACTGCAATTACATTTGAATATTTTCACCTGTGTTTTGTACGCAGTGAAGGATGGAAGAGTATTGCAAGAAAGGAGATCTACAGATATTATTAGCAGCACACAAACTCTGTGCTTAAATAACAAAGACAAACACTTTCTTGCTATCTTCATTGCAAACGATCACATTTTTTGGTCGAGTAGTTGCAAGTAAAATTACAGGTATACTGCCATACTGAAGCTGTTGTTATTGTATTTAACATTAGTTTTGGGCCAACTCTTGTGCAAAAACTCTAACTTGGGAATCTTTTTCTGATGGAATATAAGAAATCCTCCTCTGGATTTTGTCAGTACCCTCAAACAGACACAGCTAGAGTTACCGAAGCAAACTGCAGCAAGTTACGATGCATAAACAAAGCCGGCATTACTATGATCTTACACCATAAAAAAGTGCAATACATTATTTTTGAGACTGTAATACAAAAATTAGAGTGAGAATGAAGCAAATCATCAACATTAGAACATGCTAGACATATTACATTACTGTATTCCAAAAAACTAAAATAAATACTGTATTTCAAGAGTGGCTTTTCCCAGGTTTATAAGTGACCCCGTCACTCGATGTGTGAGATACTCGTGGCTTTAGAGTGTGATCACTATCCTCTGTACTGTGTGTCACTATACAACACTGTACAATACACTGTACAATACTACACTACAGTAACTTCAGTACTGCATGGAACTTTACTCTAATATCTTGCGTAATGCATAGCTGCATTTATTGCAGCTTCATCTTCATGTTGATAATATTTAAATAGCTATGGAGCAAAATTAAAACACATTTTTACTTGAATCATTATGACAAGACATTCTTGGAACTCAAAAGGTCTGGCAAGAATCAATGAAAACTTTATATATATATATCTTCATATACTGTACAATATGCACATACATACATACATGTCTCATTAAATTAGACTATTAAATTAAACAACTCTAGCTATTAGGAAAGACATACATGAACATACATATACACAAACACACACATTCACACTATTTTTATGTATACAGTACAGTATATATCTACTAATATACTGGGCATATATATATATACATACACACACACACACACACACACACACATATACATATACACACATACACAGTATAATTCAATTCATATGATACAAGTTGGATGGCTTGCGAGCAGTGACCAAATGGTGTGTAGCGACTTGTACAAATGAGCTCTAATTTGTGAGTGTGCAGGTGTTGCGAGTGAGCCACATGTGTAGCATGTTAGTAGGAGTGGTGAGGCGTGGCAGAGGGCGCTGGCAGCTAAGTGGTTAGTTGGTGTCAACATTACAATCAACGGTGTTAAAGTGAGACCACCACATACCTCCATCGGCACCATTTTTACCATTTGCTTGATTAGCTGCACCTATGACAAACAAAACACAGCTGATCACATCAACATTAACAACAACACAGGGTTAACATCACTCTTCTGTGGCTTAGCTCAAATGCCTCACTAGGTTATGTAGCTTGTGTATAATCCCTAGAATTTGTACTTTCTTCACCACAATAGACATAGCAGTGGAGGAGAGATGAAATATCCAACTCTGGATCTCGAAGGGTTGGTGGAGAAGTTAACAATATTTACATCATTTGAGCCCAACCACAGGCGAGTAATGCAAGGTGAACATAAAACAGCTGATGGGTATTTGAGGGGCTGACCAAAGAGGTTATCAGAGTAGCTTTATGAAAAGAAAAAAATTAGTTGTTAAATATTTACATAATGCTGCCTCTTTGATTGCAAAAGCCAGGCTGCATTAGGGGTTAATAGCAAATTAAATAAAATTGCAGAGCAATGAACAAAATATAACCATTACACTATTTACAGCCTCAGCATAAGTCTGTCATGCAGTACTGTAATTAATAATGGGCAACATCAAAATAAATTATAACCATAACACAGACACTCAAGGTAAAACTATCATACTACAATAACCAATAACTAAAAATGATCAAACACAAAGGCCAATCCAGTATATAGTAGAGGTCAAATGATGCTCACACTGCTTCTCTCAATAATATTGATAAACATAAATAAACAAATAAATAAAACTACTGCTTTGTTGTAGAACAAATTTATAGTTAACACAGGTGACTATTTTCACTTTTCATTCCAAAATATCTTTAGTAAAGAGTTAGGAATATCATCTTCTGGGGTACAGAGAAACGCCTACTTTTTTGGTCATCATTTAAGCAACAAATTAGAGCTGTGACTAATAAAAACACGTGTTTTATTCATTACTGATGTTGCTAAAATAGGTTTCAGTATATTTACTTAAGTACGTACTGTATTATTAATTCATTTGCTGCATTATCGTAATATAAAACACTGAACATCCTTCAAATGTCCTTAATCTCTCTCCTTAAAAAATGCAAAATATCCACCATTATTTGTTTAAAGTAGCAGAGGGAGTTCTTTGATATAATAAAGTAGGAGGCGGTAATGATACAAGTAATATAACCAGCACAGATTTCAACAGGTCAAACAGATGGCTGCTATAGGGAGGATAAATGATCATCATTAGCAAGCAGGTGACTAACTCTAATGCTACCTCTTCCCGCGCTCTACCTGCAGTCTTCTCTTAACCGGGGCACTCTCAGTCACTGACAAACTTCCCTCGTGTAATTTACCAAACAATTTTAATTGGATTTAATTTGCTAATGAAATTTAAAGGACTGGAATATTGAAAACGTTTGTGGCAAACAAGTTGCAAAGGAAAGAATACTGTACTTTACATTCCATGACTGCTGTACTGTACAATGTACATACACTGTACCCTGAGTATAATGGATTCCTATATTGTTCAGTACCCCATTTAAAGTTTACTTCATTCCTTAAGAATAAGTCTTATGTGCTTGATTTATATCAATTATAAGTCAATTATCAAGAAAATTCATAAAACTTTTCCTTAAACCTCGGTCATCATTTTCCCTGTATCTGGGTCAGCCGTGCCCATGTGTCAGAGACAACATTACTGTGCCACTGTGAACTTAACCAACCTTCTACAGCATTCTCCTTCACATTGACTCTATATTCTTATGGTATCTCTTGAAATATCTATTACCTTCGAACTTTATACCAGTACTCTTTGACTCATATATTATGTACTGGTATCTCAACATCTTACAGTATCAAAATTATAAATATTTTTGTTTAATAAAAAAGATATTAATGGTCTTGCTCGTCTACTTGCAGCATGAGTCGCTGTGCTCAAGTATATTACTTAAATCCCAACAATAAACTGCAGAAATGAACGTTGGCACATAAAGGATTTTCGAGTATGCTTTGGTTCTGACATACAATTCATTAATAATAATAACAACAACATTTGCTGCATTCCAAGTTAGCATTAATGAGGAATACTGTACAAAATAAAAATATTTAATAAATTTGTTAATATTTGTTACAGTGGACTGAATATCGTGTTAATAAACATCTACATAGTACATTTGACCTTCAAACAACACAGTTTCATATAAAGTATAAATTTTGGAGTCACATAATTGAAGATTGAACAAAGACAAAAATATAAACCACATTTTAAGAGGCAAAACAAAAAATTCAACAATTTGCAAGTGAATAATATGTGAGACTCCAAAAGTATGAACAGGAACACTGGGCTCAGTTGGATAGCAGGAAAGGCAATGGACTGAGTATGGGGAGTAGTTGATGGCCAGGAAACAAAGGGTCAGAGTAAGAGAGGGTATGTCAGGCTGGAGAGGAATGGAAAGTGGTGTTTCAGAGACTCTGTCCTAGGACCATTGCTGTTTTTAATTTATGTAAATGACTTTGTAGAGGGAGTGAGCTCACACATGTAAATATTTGCAGATGAAGCAAAGTTAATGAGGAGAATAAGAACTGAAGAGGATTGTAGGGTGTTGCAAGAAGACCTTAACAAACATTAGGAGTGGCTAGATAAATGGCTACTGGAATTCAATTCAAATAAGTGCAAAGTAATGAAAATGGGTCAGGGAGATAGGAGACCTTGAGGTTAGGTTATCTTGAGATGATTTCGGGGCTTTAGTGTCCCCGCAGCCCAGTCCTTGACCAGGCCTCCACCTCCAGGAAGCAGCCCGTGACAGCTGACTAACTCCCAGGTACCTATTTACTGCTAGGTAACAGGGGCATCAGGGTGAAAGAAACTCTGCCCATTATTTCTCGCCAGCGCCCGGGATCGAACCCGGGACCACAGGATCACACGTCCAGTGTTCTGTCTGCTCAGCCACCGGCTCCCCCTGACCTGTATTTAACTATACTATAAGAGGAAGGTAACTACAAGAAAGAAGAGAAAAATACCTGAGAGCATACATAATACCAACACTAACAACAGAAACTCATGTGGACAAAACTTCAGCAGCATATGGCAAATTACCAAACATAAGAATGTGATTTAAGAATCTAAACAAGGTGGTTTTCAAATCTATACACACTGCCTATGTGAGACCATTACTTGATTATGCAGCATCTGTATGGAACCCACACTTTGTAAAGCATAAACAGAAACTTGTAAAAGTTCAGAGGTTTGCAACTAGATTAGCACCAAAATTGACAGGCCTTGGCTATGAGGACATGTTAAGAGAACCCAGCCTCATAACCTTAGAGATAATAATTCAGAAACAGATAATAAGAAACAAGAGGGGATATGATAATTACATACAAAATCTTGAGGGGGGAACAGATCAAGTAGATGAAGGAAGCCTATTTAAATCAAAGAGATAGGACAAGAGGACATCGGTGGAAGCAGGCTATGCAATCGAGTCGAAGAGATGTAATGAAGTTCTCATTCCCCGTATGAGTGGTAAGCAAGTGGAACGAATTGAAGGAACAGGTTTATGAAGACTATTCCATCCATAATTTTAAAAAGTAATATGATGTAAACATTAATGTTGAGAGGAGTAATTTGTGAGCCAGGTATGAATGACTAGGAGCCAGGGCATAATGAGCTCGATCTCACTCCCCCGTAGTCACCGATAAGCAGTAATATATGAACTAAACAATAGTCTGAGGCTAAGTATATATGAACTTTTGAGAAACTTGAACCACTGTTCATTGGTATGGCCCTAAGCATGCTGAAATTTTTATAAATGATAAAACCTTGTAATTTCTACTTAATTCTATTTAAAATTCACATGGGCAAGTCCACCAAGCTTCTTTCCTACTATTCACAAATGCATTACAGCTTTAGTCTGATTACTGAAATCATAAATAAAAATTAACTCTTGGGAGTAACTTCCAATCGCATCCTTCCAATATAAAGAGAATAACAAGCAACTTACCTGGAGGTGCAACCATTCTTTGCCACTTCTGGAACAGCGTGGTCTTGAGGCAGTCTCTGGGCGAGAGCGCATAAGCTTTGTGGCGTGACATGAGCTCCTGCATCGGCTCCAAAATCACACATAACTGTTAAAAAGAATGGAAAAGTACTGCATTGACTTAATGGACAATACAAGGCATTTTATAAGCGAGACAAACAAATATTTTCCACGGTATAGCATGCTAACAGCCATGCAAATGTATAAAATGGAGCACTGATGTGTGTGTGCTATTTGTGATGTTCTGTGTGATCAGTTAAACCAAGTTGATGATATGGAAAAGCTTTGAGAAATGTTCTTTGGTATAGGTGGCATGACAAACAAGTGATATAACTGGCAGGAAGTGAAATTCTAGGTGAGATTGGGAGCATAATAAGATGTAAGGGTGCACTCCAATACAAAATTATGATGAATAGGCCTTCCAATGAGATCTATGCCTGTAACTGGACAAGTATGATTGAGGAAGGAATGATTTACTAGTATACACAAGGATCTTCTATGACCAGTGTATGCTGTGCAAGAGCATCATTCTGGTAATAGAAATATAGGATTTGGTTTGTGTATTTACCCTAGGGTAGTTTAGGATGTGGATAGTACGCTGTACTTACCCTGAGGTAGTTTAGGGTGTGGTTAGTGATGCCCTGCCGCGTGATGTTTTTGCTTAACGTTTCTACCATACCCGGGTCCTGTTGGGAATGCATCGCCACCACAGACCGAGGAATAAGCTCACGGTGGGCACGGACGGCAAAATGCCATGACTTGATGCGCATCAGGTCATCAAATGTGAACTCTAATATAAGTCTACCATCTGTACAGACCTGTAGCAGCAGGAGGAAAAATATTTTTATGTAATTTTATATTTCATTTATCAAAATAGCTTTCTATACAACAGTATAAGAGAATAAAAGAGAGTAGATAATATTACAGGAACAGCTTAATCATAACACAATATATTCTTCATTAGTTCACTTCAAGAGTGGTCACAAGGAGTAGTACTGTACATAAGCTTGAAATGTTAAACAAATAGATAAAGACTCAAGTAAAAGACACAATAAATTTAGTAATCAAACAGGCATTAAAAGTCGTGCACATCATCATTGTGATGACCACTAACCAACAGTACGCTTTCTTGTCATTAACAAAAGTGCATTCTTCTTGCATTAAAAATTATTTTATAGACCTACAAATATGACATCTAATTTTATTTGTTAGTACTGTACTGCACGGCATAAACAAAAATGAGTAGGGTGCTTGATTCAACAGGCAAAACCTATAACATCCCATCAATCACAATACTGTAATACGAAAAAGGTTAAACTAAATATAACTAGTTAGTTGTGATTTTATCATATAAAAGTGATTAAGAAACATATGGTATGCCAATCCCTAAATTGGCATACCATATGATACAAACATGGGTTTAGTGACAATGGTGGTGGATGATGACTGATTGATTGATTGATTGATGGATGGATGGATTGACAATTTTTCTTGTGCCATAACAATGAAGTCATTGGTATCACACAAACACAAAAATTACCTAACCCTCTGGTTAGGTAAATAAAATCCTGGTTACCTGGTTGATACCTGGTTGATGGGGTTCTGGGAGTTCTTCTACTCCCCAAGCCTGGCCCGAGGCCAGGCTTGACTTGTGAGAGTTTGGTCAACTAGGCTGTTGCTTGGAGCGGCCCGCAGGGCTACATACCCACCACAGCCCGGTTGGTCCGGCACTCCTTGGAGGAATAAATCTACTTTCCTCTTGAAAATGTCCTCATCTTGCCAACAGCAAGAGTAAAACCAGAGGAGATAGGCCTGGATGAGGTTCTGAGAGTTCTTCTACTCCCCGAGCCCGGCCTTTGGCCAGGTTTGACTTGTGAAAGCTTGGTCCAACAGGCTGTTGGATGGAGTGGCCCACAGACCCACATATCCACTACAGCCCAGTTGGTCCAGCACTTCTTGCAGAAAAATTTGCATTTTTTTCTTGAAGACTTCCACTTTTGTTCTGGCATTATTTCTTATACTTGCTGAGATTATACTGAACAACTATGAACCTCTGACGTTCATACAGCATTCTCTGATTGTGGCAATGGCATCTCTAACTCTTTACTGGCTTTATTCTGTATTTCCTTCCATATTGTTCACTTCAGTATCTTATTTTACTGTGTAAATTTGGGACCTGGCTTCCAGTATTTTTTATGTATACATTTTTATATATACTGTATATTATTTTATACCTCTCTCATATCCTATCTAAAGACTACATTTGAGAGCTTTGAGACAATCCCAATATTTCAGATGCTTTATTGTGTCTATGCATGCCATATGTGTTCTCTGTATCCATTTCAGCAATCCCTCCTGCTCTGAAAGGGAAGGTGAGCATTGAGCAGTACCCAAGACTGGATGGCACAAGTGATTTGAATATCAAGAGCATTGCAATGAGATTCCTGGATATGAAGGTAATTGTAATCTGTCCTATTATTTTTCTAGCAGACGGTATATTTGCTTGGTTATGCTCTCTAAACGTTAAGTCATCAGACATCATTATTCCCAGATCTTAACATGTTGCTTTCCTACTATAGGCAGATTTGATTGTGTTTTGTACTCTGTATTTTGTTTAAGGTCTTTATTTTTACCGTACCTAAGTACTGGGAACTTATCACTGATTAGTCATATTATTTTCTGCTGCCCAAATAAAAAACTTAATATCAGCTTTTAGATTTTCAATGTCTTTTACAAAAGTAATTTTCATGGTGATTTTTGTCTCATTTGCAAAAGATGACATGAAGCTGTGACTTATATTTTTATTTATACAGTATCTGATATGAGAATAAAGAAGAACAGTGGTGCAAGAACTGTGCCCTGTGGCACAGTTCTGTGCACATTTACTTTTGGACTTTTTTGGCACATTTACTGTGCTTGGACTTTTTTTTTTGGTTGACTTTTACCATTTGCATTGGGTTTGACAGAAAAATTAATATCTATTGCCCTACTGTATCTGTTATTCCCACTGACATAAATTTGTGGGCTATCAAATGCCTTTGCAAAGTCCACATCTGCATTCTGGTTTTTCTTCTAATGCCTCAGTGATTTTATCATAGCGATCGAGTAGCTACAAGAGGCATGATCTTCCTGCTCTAAATCCATGCTGACCTGGGTTGTGGAGGTCATTGATCTCCATACAACTGGAGATCTTCACTTTTTTTTTTTTTTATTATGGTGGGCATTAGTAAAACTGGTCTAGTTCTTAGCCAGTGCTTTGCTCCCTCCCTTGTATAAAGGAGATATATCTGCTGATTTAAGCATTTCTGGTGCTATATCCCCCCCGCCCTCCAGTACCCAAGCTTTCTTTGCACACAACACTGAGTACTTGAGCTGCTGGCACTCTGCATCTCTTTATAAATATTGAATTCCACGACTCTGATGTTGGGGCAGAGTGCATGGGCATGCTGTCAATTCCTTTTCAAAATTTGCAGAGTTCATGTTGATATCAGTTATATTTTCAGGGGTTTGGATGTCATATCTTACAAAATCACAAGATTCATCAATAGAAAATAGAACACTGGTCTTCCTTCTATTTTTTGGCCAAAAATCAGGCTATATGGGAGTGATGGTGATAATGGTGGTAGCAGTGGTGATAATGGGGTGGTAATAATGATGGTGGTGATAATGGTGGTGGTAGTGATAATGACAGATATAATGGAGGTGATAACAGAAGTAATGTCGGAGGTGATGTTTGTGGTGATAATGGGGGGTGGATATAGTAGTAGCGAGGGCGATACTGGTAGTGGACATGGTGGTGAGAGTGGGGGGGGTGGGGGGGGTTGGGGGGGGGTACTGGATGTTATAGTGATTGGTGTACATGTTATGGTGTACCAGGTTGTGGCGGAAATTGAGCCAATTTACATTTCAGATGTAGGTTTGAAATGAAAACAAAAAACAAAAACCATAAAAATCCACACAATACAACTACGAAACTCAGTAACAGCACAGTACTGTAATAACGAGCAACAAAATACAAAAGTACAGCACTGGGGGAAAACAATTTCTAGCCGTGATGCCTCACCTTGGTGTACATAGGCTTCCCGTGGTGGGTAACCATCGTGCACTGGTCACAGTCGAGGGTGATGGAGGTGTTGTGGAACGACTCTTTGGGATGTTTAAGGGAATAATAAAGCTCCGTAACACCACCTTCAAATATGCTTCTAAAGTACCGAGGAATGAGGGTTCTTCCAATAGCTGCAGGTGGAAATCAGAGAGACGTTCTTAGTTATTATACTAACCTCCACTGGTTTATTGTGTTCAGATAACTTTAGCCTACACACAACTGCTTAGTGCTAAGGCTTCACTATCAAAGTGTTGGGAAAAATACTGGGCATACATTTGCATATCAGGCATTAACCTGACAGAAATAATTGAGAAGTTATTAAATTGATGTCCTGTATTGGATTCAAACCTTAAAACATTACTGTACAGTTATTATAGCATTCAGTTCATTCAAGTAACAGACATACTGTATATCTTATTATTAATTCAAACACGTAAAAATTTTGAAGTAATAATGATTGTACAAGTGTGGGTACAGGAATTCAATTACCTAATTGTAGTTACAGCAAGGAAGTTATGCTTTATAATAAAGCATACGGAGCTTTACACTATAATAAGTGTAAGAGATAAAGACTAGCAACAGAAGAAGAAATACTTACTGTATCTCTTGGGCCCATCCTCAAGGCAGAAGGTGAGAGTAAGGGTTGCGTCATCCTCGAAAAACTCCGTGGCAAAGGCATCCCACCACAAGTTGTCCGACTCCTGTCATAGGGGACAACGAAATGTACTCTGAAAACACTGGTATATAACTCATTTTCTCATTTTCATGTTCTAAAATGAAAACAATCAATTATAAGGACAATTTTTTTTAATTCATTAACTATCTTGAGGTTATCCGAGATGATTTCGGGGTTTAGCATCACCGTGGCCCGGTCCTCGACCAGGCCTCCTTTTTATTACACACCCTAAGGAAGCAGCCCAAAGCAGCTGTCTAACTCCCAGGTACCTATTTACTACTAGATGAACAGGTACCTATTTACTACTAGATGAACAGGCGCATCAGGGTGAAAAACTCTGCCTATTTGTTTCTACCTCCACCAGGGATCAAAACTGGAACCTTAGGACTACGAATCCCGAACCTTAGGACTACGAGTCCACTCAGCTATCAGGCCCCCTTACCACTCCGCTGTCAGGCCCCCTTACCAATCAGCTGTCAGGAAACATAACTACTGTAGTTATGTTTCAAATGTTGCATACCAAAGGCGGTATCCACGGTCTCTACAACGCATTGCTTTGTGCAATGTTTCGGAAATTTTAAAATATAATTCATTCTTGCAAACACTTAATGGTGAGGTGATTGTGAATTAATGAATTAATAGTGTCTGGAGCCATACTCTGGCCATGGTGAGTATAGGGGACAAATTTATTCCTTAACATAAACATTTCTGCGGTGACCTTGACCCTCCAGAATCAAGGCAAGGTAACCGCAAGGTCGTGCCCAAAAACAACACTAATAGCGTTTCTCTTATAAATAAAAATGATGAAAAAATTCTTCCACTAATATTTTTAGTGTGTAGGTATGAGATGGAAAATTTCCCCATAAAGAAACAATATTTAAACTAAATCATACCAAGTTACAGAAAAGCATATTGAGATTATGGTTAAATATTGAATATATTATTAGTTGCCATGAAGAAGGCAAATTTAACATCCCCCCATAATGGTGGTAATCCATGCTGGCAACTCCCCTGTCCTTCACAAAAATATAATTATTTTGATAATTAAAAACTGAAAAATGTAAAAACTTTTCAGTTATAGAAAAATATTTATGTCGTCATTATGTCTCCTGTCAGTTCATCATAATTAACAGACATCTGTGCTTAATGGACGAGCCATAAACAGGTGATCAAAATCATTGCAAGTGGATCACATATCCACTTGCAATGGATATGTGGGTCACAATAACTAGGATATAACTCATAGATGCATACAGTTGTGTCTAAGAGCCTCATCGATCAGATAGTCAACCAGATCAGACAGTGGAGAATATTAATCCTCCATCTTCAAGGCTACCATCAGCACAATAATGGAAGCAAAACTGGCAAGTGTTATAAAATGCAATCTTCCCAGAAGGGTATAAACTAATAATAAAAGATGGAGATGAAAAGGCATGGAGTGCAGTCCTGCTGCTGCAACTATGCCACGCCTTTAAGGAAATACAATTATCAGAGGAAACCAATCAGCAAGAATACATGCTAGAAACACCAACATTGTGTGACATTACGATAATGACAGGGTTGATTTACAACCTGCCACCAAAAAATAGAAAGAATACAGACGAACACGGAAAATGCAACAAGATCTACCTAAAGGTAATGGAAAAAGCAGCTACAAGAGGAGTCAGGACTAAGATTCTAATATTCAGAGATATTAATCACCGGGGAAATAAACTGGATAAATAATGACTGCCATGGAAATGATGGGACATGAAAAGCAAAGCAGGTAGACTGTGTACAAACATTTCTTGAAGCTACAAATTACAGAACTAACAGGAGTAAGGGAAATGGGCACTAGATCTTGTATTTTCCCAGAATGAGGCAAAATATGAGATGCCCCTTGGGGTTTGTGACCACTGTGGTCTCATGTTTGAGTACATTGTGGAGTTCGAGGTTGGGATTAGACCAGCAAGCACACTGAGACATTTTAACATGAGGAAGTGTGAGAGCCTCTTTGCAAGAAGTCCAATATTAGAGATAATTGAAAAAAAGACAACAAATGAGATGCAATTCATAAAGCAATGCAAACCTAAATGATTCAATGGGTAATGCAGGGAAGGACAAAAAACATGGAAAAGGTACAAAGGATGTAGACAAAAACAAAGACAACAGAGAGGCACTTAAGGGAAACAGAACGAATACAACTGAGCCCGGGAGAGATAGAGGCCATTTGAAAATGACATTGTGGAAAAAGCTAAGGACCAAGCAAAGCTGTTGTATACAGTACAGAGAAACTCAACACACACCTAGCAGTAAAATAGGTACCTGGGTGTTACACACGGGCTGCTTCTTGGGGGTGGAGGCCACACACACACACACACTGTGATCAGGTTAGGGGAGACAAGGGGTATTCTTTCAAAATGACAAGGTGTTGATGAACTCAAGAGATTCCAAGGTCTTTACAAAATAACCAATGTGAACACAAAGGTTGAAAGATGAAAGGTGGCCAGGAGACACACTGAATGATATAGTGTATATGAATGACATTGTATATGATGAAGTAAACAAAATAAAAACAACAAAAAAATGGAGGAGCTACTGCAGATACAACAAAGTCAATGGTACCAGACTTGATACTACAGTGCCTTTTGAATGATGCTGCATATGCATTTTGTCATCTGATAACTAAAATTTTCAATACAACACTGGAGACAGATCTCTCAAAATTCTAGAAGATGGCAAATGTAACCCCATGATGAAAAACAAAACAAAAAAAGTCAGACACTTTATTATAGACCAGTGTCATTGACAAGTACTGTACAGTATTGTGAGTAAAATGCTGGAGAAAGTAATAAGGTTCATAATAATGGAGATTGTATTTTTCTTGATTGTCAACAATCATCTGATACCATTCCTCATGAAAGGCTGGTGCACAAGATTGAGAAAAATGCTGGAATAACCTGGAAAACACCAAACTGGTTAAGGGGAGAGGGAGGGGGGGGAGGGAGAGTATCTGAAAACCAGAAAACAAAGAGCCATAATGAGCGAGGTGTCAGGCTGGAAGGAGGTTGTGACAAGTGGTATCATCTAAGGATCTGTTTTGGGGGAATATTATTGTTCCTATTTTATGTCAATAACCTTTTCTAGGAAGTGAGCTACAGTATATGTCAATGTCTGCAAATGATGTAAGGCTAATTAATGTAAAACCTGAAAGGAACTGCAAAAAATCTCGGGAGGATCTTGATGAATTTCAGGAGTGGACAAACAAATGGCTGCTAGAATTTAATCTCATCAAGAGTAAGATAATGATTATGAAAAAGAGAAATGAGATTAAAAGGATTAACACCATAATGTGTAACTATAGGCAACTATAGGAATCATAAGATAAAAAAAATAAAAATTGGAGTGAATATACTTGCAACATCAACACCAGAGGCACACACACAAACAGGGTAACATAGGCAGTACATATGGGAATCTTGAGGTTATCTTGAGATGATTTCGGGGCTTTAGTGTCCCCGCTGCCCGGTCCTCGACCAGGCCTTCATCCCCAGGAAGCAGCCCGTGACAGCTAACTAACACCCAGGTACCTATTTTACTGCTAGGTAACAGGGGCATAGGGTAAAAGAAACTCTGCCCATTGTTTCTCGCCGGCGCCCGGGATCGAACCCGGGACCACAGGATCACAAGTCCAGCGTGCTGTCCGCTCGGCGAACCGGCTCCCCGGCAAACCAGCAAGCTGGCAAACATTACAAAACTATTGAAGAACTATCTGAATATGTAGCACCAGCCTGGAATATACACCTAGTGAACCACAAAATAAAAATTGAAAAGTTGTAGAGGTTTGCGACAAGGTTAGTGACAGAACTAAGAGGGTTAAACTATAAGGTTAGGTTAAGGGAACTATATCTTGCACCCCTTGATGAGAGAATACACAAAGTGGATATGATCACAACATCAAAAGGATAAGGACAACAGCCTTGTTAAATTAAGAGGATGTAGAACAAGAGAACAGTGGTGAAAACTGCAAGAGCAAACGAGATGAAGAAATTTAAAGAAATGTTTGTACAGTACCCTGTAAGGGGTGATCAACAAGGAAAATGCACTGAACGTAGTTGTTGTAAAAGACCCCTCCATCCACAACTTTAATGCCAGATTCAACAAAGAATTTGAACATAGCACAGTTAAATTATAACAAGCGATACAACAAAGGTAGTAGGCTGGTACAGAGTTAGACCTCACTTGCCTATAGTCGGTGTTGCGCAAGAAACGGGTACAAGACTAGTAGGCTAGGCATCAAGAGCTTGACCTCACTCCCCCGTAGACACTGCCAGGCAAGCACTCACCATCACCACAACCCCCACCAAACTTCACAACCCAATTTCTGATTTTCACCAGCAACACTTCCTAACCCCTCACAATTCTCTCTAAAACATTAATAAACTTTTCCACCAAAACTTCACTATTAACTAACTTCCAGGCAAAACCTCTTGTCTTTAACTTCCCCCTTCCCCATCCCCATAAGGAAGAGCCATAGTTCTGTTTGAAGAACTCTTCAACACTCCTTCATCCCTTCACTACCTCCCTCCCCCACTACATCCCTCCCTCACTCCTTCCCTCACCACCACATCCCTCCCCCACTACATCCCTCCCTCACTCCTTCCCTCACCACCACATCCCTCCCCCACTACATCCCTCCCTCACTCCTTCCCTCACCCACCACATCCCTGTGATGTAACTATATAACCTGAGCTTGTGAAAACACCTTAATCACCTTCAGTGATTAAGTGCTTAATTGCACACTAGTTTCTCTATCAGCTATCTCACCCTGTCAGAGTATAAGAGACAAATGTATGTGTATGCATGTGTGTGTATATGTGTGTGTATATATGTATATGTGTATATGTATGTGTATAAAGTATATGTGGATGCTGATCAGAATTCCATTTCACCTTTGTAAATGCACATTAATGACGCTATGTAAAAGACACATCGAACACTTTATGTACGGCATATGTAAATGTGTACAGTATTTATGTATTTACG